GGGACGACTCAGCTTTCTCGGATCACGACCATTCGACTCAGCACCTCGAAGACTACAACTGTTGAAATTTTGATTTTTGCCTTAACTTCCCCTACACACGTCTACACACTGTGATCAAGGTGCTTGACTAGCACCAGTAAAACCTGTAAAGATGACCTCTCAAATACAGCGACCGCCTGTCCTAGAAGACCACTGACTCCAGCACCAAGGCATGCTATTTCCAGTCGAATTACCCTGGATAAGGAGACCGCCTGGTAACAGAGATCAGGTTTTGAAGGTCCCTTGAGCGGTCGTCTTGGACAGGTTTCACTCTACCGGTAACTACAGTCAACTTTGCGTATAGCGACACTCGGCGGGGCATCAGAAAAGTGTCCTGTTTCGCGAAGTCCCATTATTATGTATTGCCGTTAGATGGGACTTTGCTCTGCGCCTGGAAATTCTGTCGTTATTCGCAAATTGTCGTTATATCCGCAGTCGTTATTAGCGAAGTTGACTGCATGACTACAACAGTCTGGTGTGTGCAGCTCCAAAGCTGTGCCCACTGCGCATCAAAAGTCCGAGACTTATAGTTATAGGCAGTATTGCTTTTCTCCGAGGGCATACCGAATAGTCACAGGTTGTACAGGAGTACTTTTATCACAAGCAGCGAGTACATATCTTGCTGCTAATAACATGCAGAGCGCAGATAGGCCAGTGCGGTCTGACAGCATAGATGAAAACTTTGACGCGCTACTCAATGGAGTTTGCACTTTTAGGGTTGTGGGCACACACACACACACACACACACACACACATACACATGCACACACACACATGCACGCACACACGCACACACACACACACACATGCACACATGTACACACACATGCACGCACACATGCACACACACACACACACACACACACACACACACACACACACACACACACACACACACACACACACACACACACACATGCATACACACACGTACTCATGGCAGCATTGATACATAACACTTTGCGTTGGGTGACAAGCTGGCTCTACATCTACAGCTGTAGCAGTGGCCTGTTCTCTGATAGTTAAACATCACATTCTGTGATCTACAGCCCATGTACATGTGTACAATCATGTACTGTAGCCGACATTGAAAACCGTTGAGAAGTCAAATGGCCACGGGGCGCTGGCCTTGCAGCCACGAGCGCCGAGCACTGCTGCTCCATGTTTGCAGTTTGTCCGTAAACTACAGTGCACATACGCACTAAAAGCAGTAAGGGCTCCGGTCCACAGCAATCTTATGGGATTTTAATGTCCACAGCAGTACACGTACATGCTCTACCTACTGGTAAAAATAAAATTAAAAAAGTAAATTATCGTGTCCGTTCCGGAAGGGAACTCACGACGGCCGCTAACACCCGGTAAACCCTAGCGGCAGATACCTACTGGTACAGTCATACTACTTCTTAGCCAGAGTTTACAGCGGAGATTCATTCATTTCCTTTTAATCATTTTATAGAAAAGAAAAAGGACCAAGCAACTACAAGTTTCACTATAATGTGCACTAACACCAGCAGTTACTTGACACTCAGCTCACGCGATAACATTGCACACACTGATGGTGTTAGTGGGACATTATAGCGTAACTTGTAGTTCCTCGGTCCTTTTTTTCCTTTTCTATAAATTTATCCTTGCCTCTCCATCCGAGTCCATCCAATCATTTATTCATTTATATTTAAAATTATACGTTGAAGAAGGACACAAATCTCAGGAACCTGAACTGTGTCCTTCTAAATTTTACAGCACGTTGTTTATACTCCAAAGAAATTGATCAAATTTTATTTGAAGGATTCTCCAAAGATGACTAGATACACATATGGGGAGTTGCCTGGAAAAGTGGAGAGAGAAATTTGATTGAAAAGCCGGGGAAACTAAAAGTGAAAAATGAATAGAATTTAGCAGAAATACTGCTCAAGGCCAACTACCGGTGAACGTAGCTGGTGAAAATATAAACAGGATCAATAGCCGGACATCATTCAGTTGACGCACCCCGTGGACTTTCCCAGCAGACCCCAGTACGAGGTCATTTGCTATTTTTGGACACTCAAATTAAATAGCACCCCATTATGTTGGTTTGTAAGATAAAATAAAAATTTCTTTCTTGCTTTTCTACTGGCACACTTATGCTTTACCACCACCACACACACTTGAAGGTATAGAGTTGAAGCATGTGGCCACAACTTGACCTGATCGAAGGTGTCTTTTTCTACCGAACACCTCTACCGAAGGCAGAAGTTTCTACCCAAACATGTACATGTAGATGAACAGCGAACGCCCCCTTAGGCAACCATGTGTTGTCTATTTTCCGTCTTGTTTCGGTGGTTTATGATGCAATAGTCCTGGCACGAGTAATATTCAATGCGTGACATTTGTACTGGGGTGAAATTGCACGAAGTGTGTTTCGTTGCACTAATTTGCTCAGGATCAAATGTCAATTTGTTCACCATACCATAGCTCCAGAGCACGTCTGATGATACATGCACGACGGGCATTGCATCATAAACTACTTCCCCCGTTAACAAAAACTTCGTGATGGATTTGATGGATATGAAAACGATTAGAACAGGTCAAGAACAGTTTGTAGCGACTGCAAATTACTGGACGAAGGTAGTTCAGACCATGTACAGCGTTTTTACAAGAGAAACTGTTGGCAGAATGAGCAAAGAGTTCAGTTTGTGTCGCTTTCGCTCGACTTATTTTGACCCTGCGTCGCTGTCGTCATCTGCTGCACGCGAGTCGTCATCTCTCTCAAGTCAATGTTCAGCTAGTTTCAGCCTTTCCTCGGCTTCTTTGATCACACTCCGCTGAACTTTGGTGATGTTGCCGTCGTTCAAGTTGGCTTTCAGGGAATTACTCGTTTCCACCAGAGAGTCTTAAAAAATATTTTGCGACTCCTGGTTTCATCTCCACTATCCAGAGCTCCGCGAAATGCGGGAGTAAAGGCACAGCCAAACTGATTCCAATGGATACTCCTACCAACACTGAACGGCAGCGGTAGCAAGTCCAGTCGACTTTCCTTAGCCACGAGACTCGCGTCGGACAGCAGACTTCCGAAAGAATGCATGGTCATCAGCATTCGAATCCGGGGCTTTGTGCAGGGTGAACAAGAACTTGAATTCAGAATTATTTCATTGCGCTGTGCGATCGGAGCAGCTTCTTGTTCACTCGCTCATTGTGTAGGCTCGTTGTTCCGTTCCATCCCCCTGTTAACAATTTCAATCGTAGTAGAGAGACCAAGCGTGCAGCGCATCATCCCCTCGGAGAAGTGTTATAAGTATCAGTTTCGCTCGCCATGGCTGTCATCACCTATGTTGCCACAGCGCGACCATCGATTCCGCTCGGCTTGTCGTGAAAAGTCGCTTTCCTTGCATCGTACCTCTTTCATGGCATGCCAGGGAAGGCCGAGAAGATGATCGCGACTCATTTTGCGGCAGTTTGTGCGCAAACCAGTCCCTCAAAAATCCATCACGAAGTTGTTGTGAAAGGAGTAGTAGTAGTGGTAGTTTTTATTATTTTACTAGGGGAGTCCCAACAGGCTACTGCCTTTTTACTGGGAACCCTAGGTGAAGTTTAACCATATTAATGAACAGAGCAAGAGTGTGGGCCTGTCGACAGTCAGCTGAGAGAGTTCCACCTGCCTGCCGCCAGAAAAGATATAGAGCGCATGCCATACTGCGTATAAACGAGTGGGAGAACTAAGGCTCTTTGTGCCTTACCCCGGGTGCATGCCTGGTGACCAGGTGCAGTTGCCCGAAGCTGGTACAAAGACTGAAGAAGAGGACTAGCAAGATGCTGGGCCAAGCAGCGGTACACAAAAACATAGAGCTTGAGGCTAATACGCTGTTCCAAAGAATAGAGGTGATATAAGCGAAGAACTAGTTCAGTGGGCGTTGTACGATCGAGTCCAAACACTCTCTTCATTGCTATGTGACTAACGGTCACAATCCTATTGTACAGAGTTGTGCTTAAACAATGTAGGTAAGCATTACTGGCATAGTCTAGGGTAGGCTGAATGAGGAGGAAGTACGGTCAACTATGTTTTAAGTTCAACTCCACCCCATGGCATATGCAACCCCAGAGATGAGGACCATACCCGGGCCAGCCATGGCAAATTGCAAGAAAATCCGGGCAGGGCAGCACCCGGCCATAGCGTTGCACACTACACACATACATGATGTACAATGTACATGTACGATTTTACTCTTCTTGTATTGAAACAACGATGTCTGGAGTCACGCGTATCTGTTCGTCGCTCCAAATCCCACTTTATCCGTTGTCTGTGCAGATCCCCGCGGGGCGGCATTCAGGCAGGCAGGTGAAGAATTTCACTGGCCCAAGCGTGAACAAGGCAGGCGATGGTCGTCCGATCTCTTTCCCGTCACCACGCTCCTTCAAGCACACCACACAGCCCTGTCCCACCCCTCATCCTTAACCCTTTTACCACTGCACAGTTGCCCTTTTTTGATAAACAAGCCTTTTTTAAGTTTTATTCAGGGTGCGCCGACTCCTCTGCTGCCAATTCATTTTCCAGTGTCACCATACCTGTACATGTATGTTGTTGATAGAGAAGTTCCCTAGAAGCCAGAAGTAGAAAACACCTCACTGCTCATGCTGGCCGTTGATTGTACATTTCGTGATATGTTCCGACTAGCCATTGCAATCAATCCTGGCTTTTTTCCTGATCACGTTGAGAATAACAGTCTTCAATATCTACATAATTATATGCGTGGGTACTACCAAGAGTTCTTAAGGTGACTCGCGCCTATTTCTAAACTCGTCTTTTGCGCAGGTTCTCGCGCATCCTACGTTCGAGAAAAGACATGCAGAGTTGGCGTAGCGAGCTTGTAGCGCACTCCAGTTTCGAAGGGTCCAGCTCGAGCAGATGGCCTGAGTACGAAACTCTCGTACTCGAGTCTAGAGTGTGAGCTTTTTTCTTCTTTTTTTTCACTCCTTCACTTGGCTACTTTTTTGAGGTGCATTTTTTACTTGTGGAAATTGTCACCTGTCAGAGAAGTGTTGGGATGTCCCTTCCAGCAGGCACTGCCCATGCCCATGGTCGGCTTCGGAAAAAGAGTAGAATAAAAGCGTTGGAGTCTATGTGGATGTCTTGGAAGGAATGGGGGACGGCACAGACGGGTACGTGAATGTGTAAAACCTGAGTATTTTGTATTTTTGTTGAATTGGTTCAAGTGACTTGGCGAGTCCCTTCCACAGTAGAACGCCATCCTTCGCAAAATTTGTCTGACTATTTTGTCAAGAATGGCCGTTCTATAATGATAAATCGCCTCTGAAGCCAGTGGATTGTGGAGGTCACCCTTGAATATAAATTGAAATGGTCACGAATGTACGAAAGTATTTTTGATTCGAACATGTACTGGACAACGTGGTTGCATTGTGTCAGTAGAGGGTACTACTGTAGTATCTCACCATTTCTTTATGGTAATCGCTGTCCACCAAGAACTCTACTATAGTTATTGCCACGGCTTGATCACAGCGGTACACTGAGTTTTTGTTGAGAAATTCCTTCAATTTATTGTCTTATCACTCTGACTAGACTCAGTGCTTGAGCGTTTTATTTAGGATGCATTTTTTAGAGATTGATATTTACCAGTATGTGTTTCACATCACTCCTGACGAGAATACGCATTTGAAAGCAACACTGGCTGACAGCAATCATGCTCCCCAGGCTCAAGTGTGTGTGTGTGTGTTACAAGGGTGTGCATGGCAATTTGGTAGAGTATGTGTGAACACAAAGTCCACTATATATTCACAAACTCAAGTACATCGCAAAATTTTGCCTTTTATCGCATATTGTGCCTTCATAACTTTGACTAGCCCTAACCTGCTGTCTGACAGGTGTGTCATTGGTGAATGTACATGTATACTGTCTCCCTTCACAACTATATGCATGTAACAATATTTTTACAGTGCACTTGCAGTGTATATAGCTAGATCAATGCACAGTAATCAGTAAATTGTGGCTGCCTCTGTCACATTGTCATATTCACGCGACGTACATTCTAAATCATCGAAAATGCCCAAACCTATTTCTACGTGTGCAGAAGAAGATTGAACACATTCTTTCCTTGCATCTGCGCCTTGATCCTTGAAGGATGATGGCGTTCCTACGGATGCGGAAAACTCAGCCTCTAGCCGAGTATGACGTGAACCGTGAATTTTTTTCCTTGACATTGGTTGATGGCATCAGTCACATCTAAGAGCGACACTCTATCTCAAACATATTTACGCAAAGAAGTAGTAATCTTATCTTCATTGGAGCGATGGTCTGCAGGCGTGCGATCATGTGTGTGCCTTGTGTGTGTGTGTGTGTGTGTGTGTTTAGTCACTGTTTACACGCACGTTTGTGCGTGTGTGTGGTGCGTGTGTGTGTGTGTGTCTGTCTGTCTGGCCTGGTATGAGGTTGCTCAGGATAGGTCTGCCTGGCGGGTGGACTGTCTTATCTGCCATCGGTCGTTTCGCCAGCCAGGTGACAAACAAGGCACAAATGTGGCGCAGAGCAAAGTCTCCCCATCCAGGATCAGCGTGGTGCTGTGCAGTGTGGTACATGCAGAAGGTGGGTTCACTCTCGTGGTGGCCTGCGTGTGCATCATTGTTTGCCCCTGGAACCATCGAAAGTGTCCGAGCCGACATCATCTATTCCGCTCAGCGTCCATGCTTCTCTCTTGTGTTTGACATGCAATCGGCAATTCAAGTCAGTGCCTGGTTTCAGACGTCACATGTGCGACCGTGGCCATCGGGCAACCAAGTCTGACAGAGCGTCATATTGTGTTCGCTGTTCTCGCTGCAGCCGTCAGTTCCGTCGACAGAGTGACCTGAGTCGTCATCTCCGTTTCTGCTCCTGACAATGACTCCGGCTTCTTTCGGAATGGTGTGGCCCTTGGGCAACCATGCTGCAGTAGCAGTAGTAGTAGTAGTGTGTGTGTGTGTGTGTGTGTGTGTGTGTTTGTGTGCGTGTGCGTGTGTGTGTGTTCTGCCTCGCCTAATAGCTATCATCGCCTTCGGCGATGGGCTTTCCAAAGGTCCAAAGGTGTGTGTGTGTGTGTGCGTGTGTGTGTCTGGAGCGCCACCGGGTGGCGTGCTCTTTCTCTCTCTCTCTGCTGCCCTTCCGGGGCCCACGTGACCCTAGTGGTAGTGGCTCGACAGGTGTGTGTGTGTGTGTGTGTGTGTGTGTTTGCATGCATGCGTGTGTGTGTTTGCATGTATGCGTGTGTGTGTGTGTGTGTGTGTGTGTGTTTGTGTGTGGTATGTGTGTGTACACTGGTGTAAATGTGTATTGCAGGGTTGGGTGGGCTAGTAGAGAAGAGTAGATGTATATGGACATGTACATGGGATATGTAGGTGTGCATGTACATGTAGCAAAGCAAACTTATCAAAAAGGCATTCTGCGCCTATATGGCGAAATTGAGCATTGAAGCATATGTTTTTTTATTTTCTCATTGGCATGTACACAGTTAGTCCATTCAATAACCAAAAAAAGAGGAAGATTGTAAATCAGGTTCTTGATGAAATACCCGTCCGCTATACATCACAAATCCTGTACAAATTTGACAATTTAGTGAAATTGTCATCGCCTTTATCTCAAAAGTTAGCATTGAGACCCCGTTTTTTTAACTCGCCATTTGCATACACTACCTAAGAGCAACCGCCCACCAAATTTTCAGAGCAATCGTTAATTTTTTTGAAATAGGCGTGAGCCACCTTAAGCCCCCGTTATGTCGTGACTAGCCACTGCAATCAATGCTGGGTTTTTTCCTGATCACTTTGAGAATAACAGTCTTCAATATCAACATATACATGACTGATTGTACATGTATGCGTGGGTACTAGTACATGACTGATTGTACATGTATGCGTGGGTACTAGTACATGACTGATTGTACATGTATGCGTGGGTACTACCAACAGTATAGTACATGTAGAAGCCCCGGTGGTAATAAACTCTTGGTAGTAATGGTACTACTTGGTGTGCTGGAGTTGTCCTGAAAACACTGTGAGACCTGTCTAAGATGACAGCTCAAGGGACCTTCACAACGTTGTCTCTGATTTTAAAAACAATTTCCCAGGTGGGAGCCCTTAGTGGATAAAGCTCCAAACATTGGCAGGTTTGGCTCGAAAAGCAGTGAAATTGACAGAGCCATACAAATCTTATGGCAGGCACTTCCTTGACTTCTGCTCCATTTCTTTATCCGCATACCAAACACGCCTGGAATATACCAGAAAAACATTTTAAACACCGAATTGAGCCATTTTGTCTGCCGGCATCATCCGCCAAGGACTACTTGTTGGTCTCTTTATCCAGGACCAGGGTAATTTGACTGGAAAAAGCAACCTTGGTCCTGGCCACTGTGGCCATTGATGGATAATGCTCGGAAACTTGGCCGATTCTGCTCGAAAAGCAATGCAATTGGCAGAACCATACACACCTTTTATGGCAGGTATTTCCTTGAATTCTGATCCTTCTTTAATCCACCGTGTGGAACATACAATATCAGACCTGCATAACACACACCAGAAAAGTCCACATTTTTTTCCAATTATTCTACTGGCATTATCCGCCAAGGTATACATGACTGTACTGGTAGGCTGCAGTGGTCTTCTGCGGGGACAGCTGGTCACCTTATCCCAGTAGTCCGTCGCCTTGACAGGTTTTACTCTAGCATCATTTGGTCCTGGTCTGTAGTTAAACTTACATTGTACAGAACATCAAGAGCACCCAATGCTGTAGACAGCAAGCTGTTTCGGCCATAAATGCCTCTAAATATCAGTACTATACAGATTCGAGCTTTAAGCAAGCCAAGCTACCAGCAATAGTGCAAAGGAGGCAGCACAGATAGCTCGTCTCTCTAGCGCCAGAGTACTTTAACGAAGAGGTAGAGAAACTTCAACGGCTTCTTCATCGTGCTGTTAAAATCCTGGAGCACATCTGAATTCCCATCTTTGCTTAGCCTTTGCTCAACAAGACGAAAGCCGAGGAGCGTAATACCCAATGCTGTAGACAGCAGCAAGCTGTTTCTAACAGCAAGAGTATATTAGCCCCGATACATATACGATAACAGCAGTATCGGCTGTGATACAGGTGAAATCCGGCCAGAAAGTGCAGATCCGGTACATACCGGTAGTCATTGGACTAGAAGAGCCCAGTGACTGGACTGGAACTATATGTAGTGTCAGTTGTGCATGCCAGCGACCACATTGTACTTGTTTAGTTCTTCCTGGTGCAAAAGACTAAAGTGCTGCTAGGTGTAGAAAGGGTATCAGGAGTTGCACACTCTTGGGGGGGGGGGCTCCCGGGGTTATAACAAAGAGGTTCTGCTACACGGAACTACATGTACGTACCAACTTTACGGAGTTGAGTACAACTGCTTGATCTTGCTACCAACTTTTTCCTTGTAAATTGTAGAGCCGATACTGCGATAGAGGAAAGTAGAATCTACCCTTTTGAGTTGAAAAAAACCTCTACCGAGAGAAGCAGTTTCTACAAAAACCTGTAGATCAAAAACGAACCCCCTAAGTCTGTCCAGGAGTTGTAAAATACCGGTATTTTACGACTCCTGGGTCTACTATAGGTAGTACTCCGGATTTGTAGGCATGCTAGGCAATTTAAATATTATCCTGCAAAGTATTTTGTAGGTGCGTGACTACTACGTCATGTACTACAATTGGTACATGACTTAAAGGGGAAGTGCATCGATTTTTCAAGTAGGGCTCAGATGAAAGACAACTGGATATCGGTTCCGATGGAATATCTCTCGCTTGCGTACGGCAAGGGAAACTTGCCATATCGCCGATTTCCTGATCCCGTTTCCATGGCGACTAAAGGTGATGACGCACATTCTGCTTAGCTCCGTGAGAGAGAAGGTCGATCACTGAATAATTGTGTCATTTTCAGTTGTCTTCTTGTATTCACGAAGTGAAAGAAGTACTGTGTTCAAGGCTGTTAGTG